GTTTAAATTCTTCAATTGATTCATTCTGAGACAAGTTCATTTGTGTTGACTTATTATGTGACTGACTCTTTTGGTTTAATGCATGAAAAGATGTAGACGATTCTAAAGAAATAAATTAAATTAATACTGTAGTTACAGTATTATTAAAATTTTTAACTTTGATACAATGACGATGCTGATACGAAGTCTGATAATTCATTTTTATATGTACTTGCAGCTACAAATAATTCTATCATATAAAAAAAAATAAAAATAAAAAAAATAAATTAAACTCTTAAAAAAAAAAAAAAAAAAAAAAAAAAAAACTACAACCATTTACTTTTTCATAATTAATCGCTTTATCTAAAGCTTTATATCTAAGTTCTTGTACATGATTAATCGGACATTCATAAGATGCTAATCCTTTTAGTGATTTATGGCGTGAAATTGACATTGTTTCATAATCAGATAATCCAAGCACTTTTAAAATTTGAATTAAGGTTTTGTGCCCAGTTTGATTAGTAATCTTACGACCAGAAATATCGATATTACATGATACTACTAGTCGTTTAAAGAATGCCTTCATCGAATTTCTCCCCAAATGTGTTTTTTCATACCAGACCTCAACAGTTTTAAAATCCTCTGTAAGATACAAAAAAAAAATTAATATTTTTATTAATAATTATTATTATTAAATACAATTGTTATTTACCATGATTTTTTTTATAGAGCGTTTGGCTATATATGTATCATATGATTCAACAATGTCAAAGATTGGTAGAATAGAAAATGTCTCTGCTACACTGGGACTTTCAAGACTTCTTTGGTTTGTTTTTGATCAGTAAAGTTTAACTTCATAACTACCAGAATCTTTTTTTTTAAAAGAAAAAAGTTCTAATAAAAAATGCTTTCCACCACATAGACCAAGACAAAGTGCATTAAAAAAGAAAACTCTATTTAGTAATCCTTGGGGATTAAGTCTTGATGTTTGAGAATGCGATAAAATTTGTTGAACTTCATCAATTGTTAAAGCATCAGAACCATTTGATTCCCCAAACCCACTTGAAGACAATGTTTTAATTTTTCCATTTAATGTACGCCAAAGATCAGGGTGCGCCTTTTTGTCATTTAGGTCAATTAGTTTTAATTTACTTGTCTCACCATTAAAATACTGATTTAATGCATTAATTGCAGATTGAAGGGATGCGACAGACTATTCGTCACCATTAGTCTTATGGCATACAGTAAAGTATTTACAAAGCTCTTTTTCAAGTTGCTTTGGGTTTGAAATATCAGATAATTCACCAGGAAGGTTTGTATCTTTACGATAGTTCTCAAACTGTTTTGTCCAATTCAATGTAGATCTATGTGTATTTTCTACTACAGACTTTTTTTGTAATGATGTAACTTCTTCTGGTGTAGGCTCAACGTATGTAAATCGTTTCTAAAAAAGTTTAATACATACATAAATAGTAAATAATAATATATAGTTGTAATGATAAATAAATGCAGAAATACGTGATAGTATGTGAACCTTTTCTTTGGATACTTTGGGCATCGTAAATATTTATTAAAAAAAAAAAGCTGCTATTTTTTAAAAATACTGACTGCCTCTATAAAAGAAAGTTATTTCGCGAAAGTAGAAGAGATAACAAAAACGCGAAAAAAATTTTTTATTTATAGCCAATCAGCTGACTTTAAAATGCGTAATGATTTTTTTTATATGATCAAATGATTATGGCAGTAACAACTGCCGGACGATAATAACGTTATTGTATGAGGGTAAAAAAAAATTGACACAGTGGTATGAATATATATCAGTGATCAGATCAAATATTTGTTAGAGATATGTGGGCCGCTATCGCGGCCCACATACCTCTAACAAATATTAGATCCGATCACTGATACATATCTATACCACTATACCAATATTTTTTTACCCACTATATAATAACTTATAAATATTAGACAACTAATATTAGTATAAAGGTGAGAAGACTTGCTATAAGCGTTGGGAAAGGTCCAAGAGGTGGAGAGTATTAGGTGGTTACTAAGAGTGCTAGTTTTGCTGTTATTAAGATTGTATGAGAGAAGAAATTGTATGTTGAAGGTGTTTGTTCAAATATAGTCAATTCTGCTAGATTTGATATTGTTAGACCAAGTAAAGTAAGTGTTGTTTAGATGTGCACCAATATCAAACATGTTGGAGTGGTGTAGAAAATTAATAAGTTTGAATTTGGAGAAAGAACTGAATATAATATCATGTGTATTAAAGTCTCCTAGAATAATAGGTTGCAAGTTAAGTTGTTGAGCTTGTAATATCCAATTAATGACTATATTTTGAGTAAGATTGTGTCTAGTGGAGTCAGTTGAGGAGAGATAGACTAAGATTATATAGAGTTTGATATTGCTTTTAAAGAAGAAATCAAGTGCTACAGCTCCACCAGGGTGTGTTAGACAACTATGAACATGGGGCTTAAGATAGTTGCGAATCATAATAGCTACTCCTTCCATAGAGCTATCGGAATTAGCCCAGTAGTAAGTGTAGAAGTTATTGTTGCAAACGAAAAGTTTGGTTTTGTTTGAAATTTTGGTTTCAGTAATACTGGTGATAGAAATGTTATGATTGATACAGTAATCTTGCCATATTTGTCTTTTAGAGGGGGCATTAAAGCCTCTAACGTTATAAGTGGCTATTGTAAGATATAGATCATGTTGATTAGCTGATGAGGTATAGTCTAGTTCAGAGGGAGGTGAGGAAAGGTTTGATGGGTTTATGCTAAGGCTTGGTGAGGTTGAGGGGTTTACAGGTGGATTGAAAAAAAGAGAATCATCAATAAAAGTTGGTAAGTAAGAGTTGTTTGATCTAAGTGATACTTTATAGTGATTACGAAGATAATTAGGAAGGAGAAGTATATAGTTTGTGTGATTTGGTAGAATTCCTTTATGAGAGAGATATATATGTGCTTCAGAGAAGACATAATCAGTACGAGTTTTTTTAAGGGATAATTTGATATAGTAGTTTGAATAAAATTCAGGATATTCTTCTTGTATGTATTGTAAAAATGAGCCAATAGTTTGTAGTGAAGGTAAAAGTTGCAATTTATAATAATGAAGAAATTTGTTAAAGCATGTATGAGGGTCAACTTCGTAGTAGGAACCATGCCACCATCTTGAATAAAATAATAATAATGAAGATGTTGGGTTTGTGCGATAGTCTTCACTATTGTAGTCATCTTCTAATGGTGATTCATCAGAAGATTCAGAAGTTTGATAGTTAGTAGTATTTAGTATGATAGATGCTACTTCAGAAGGAGATGATGGTATGATATCTAAAGTAGATAAAGTCTTGTCTTTTGCTACGGTCACCGTATGCCCGGCTTGCACGGCTCTGCAAAGATCAAAGGTCACCTGATTATTCGTTAGAAGACTGTCATTATTTGAACCTTCCAGGTAAATGGGCTTTACTGCTCGCCCACTTATATTATTTTCTATATTAACTACATTGGCTGTATCTTTTAATATAGCGGCTGCATTTATGTTTGCAAAAGACATAACTTGGATTTTAAAGAAAAGTGAATTGTAAAGAAGAAGGAGAAGAATATATAGAGAAAAGAAAAAGAGATAAATAAAAAATAAAGAAATATATAAAAATAAATTAAGTATGTATATATATATAAGAAAAGAGTAGTATTGATAGTTAAAAATATTAAACCATTATAAATATTAAGAAGGGTTAAATGTTGTATTTAAAAATAAAAGGTTATTAAGTTATAAAGAAAATATAAAAGAAAGTTGAGTAAAAGTTAATATAGTATATATTGCTAAAAGAATAAAAATAAACGTTCAAAATTTGTAGTCGGTTTCTATCATCACAGTGCACTGGGTTTGATATTCAACCAGTGGAATTGAACATACGAACTTGTTAGGTCATATGCCCAATCTACTATACTACAAGGGATATATTGTAAAATTTTAAAATAGTACATTTTTTGAAGATCTGTTTATTAATAATTGTCCAATAGATTTAGTTAATCTGTTTTTGTGATTTGATAATCATTTTGTTAAATATAGATTAAAGTTTGTGTTACAAATAGATTTATAAATATTAGGGGTTGATTAAGATTGATAAAATTGTTGTTAAGATGAAAGAAAAGAAAAAACATAGTTATTTGAAGAGTCGTCAAAAGCGTGCTTATAAGCAAAAACTTCCACCTCGACAAGAAGTAGCTAAGGCAACCAGTAGTGTTGAAGTAAAAGAATATGTTGAACAAGAACCTTTAGCTTATTAAAGGGTAATTAAGGTTAACGATGATATTGTTATGGAAGAGCTTGTTGATGATAGTTCAAGTAGAGTTACTAATAGCAATTTTTCCCAAGAAGAGAAGTAAGTGTAAAAATAGCAATAATAAGATAAATATGAAGATTTGAGAGATAATAATAAAAATAAAGAAATAAAAGAAATAAGTATTAATAATAATATTTAAATATCTAGTTTACGGAATGAAAATAGAAGGTTGAAGGAAAGACTTGAAGTATTAGAAATTTAATTAAAAGAAAAGAAATTGAGTCAAGTGACAGTAAATTTTAAAAGAGATATAGAGTATAATAATTTGTATAAGCAGAAGATGGAGTTATTGCGAAAGATGGAGTTGTTACAAAAGTATTATTTTAAGAAGAGTTATATGGTAGGTTTAGGAGATAGTAATTATAAAGGAGTAAATGAAAATGATTATGATTTGAGTATTGTTTAGGTGTTTTCAATATATATAGTATTGGTAGTGAAAATTGTAGTATTTTGTTTTTCTCAAAAGTAAATTTGTTCAAAATAAACTAAGATTGAATAAAGTTGAAGTATTTATTAGAAGTAAGAGAATATATAATGATTTTATAATTAGACCTTAAAAGAGCAAAGTTTGAGATAAAGTTTGTTGAAATATATCTTCTCAATAGGGTGTGGTGAATTGATAATTAAGAAGAATAGTGGGTTTTTTTACTAACTCACTTGCCGTATGCCCGGTTCTCATGGCTGTACAAGATGCCAAGATTTGCTCTGTGCATTGAGTCTAACTATCATTTATTGACCTTCCACGTAAATAGGCTTTACCGCCCGCCCACTTACATCATTTTCTATATTAACTATATCGGCTATATCTTTTAATATAGTGTCAGCTGCATTTATGTTGTTAGCAAAAGACATGTTTATATAAAAAGGTTACTAGAGGCAGAAGGTATAGTTATTTGGTTGTTAAAGAAAAGTGAGTCATCAAGTTGTGAAGGGATCTTAAGTTTGTAGTGTTTAATAATAAATTTCTCAGCTTGGGGGAAGTATTTTTGATCAAATTTTTTCCTAAGTTCAGAAGTTGAAATTTTGAAAGTGAGATCATAGAATGAAATAACTTTGAAAAGGGTATGTGGGTCTGAAGAGATGTTGATAAACTTTGTAAGTGCTTCATCAAGCTTAAGGTCTTCAATTTTGTCATTTTTTGCTGCTTGATAGAAATATTGTTTTTTTTTTTTTTTTTAAATATTAAGGTGACCACTTAGGCCCTTGGCACTTTATTAGTACAAGTGGTAGGCCAATG